GGCCAGCTCTAAATCACTGTATTTGGCAGTGTGATATCAATATTTCAGTCCATTCAGTAGCAGTTTTAGCCAACCTCCTTGAGTCTTCTGTTTTTYCTCACTTTCCCTTTTCTTCCTCTTACTTTCCTCATCCTGAAAAGTACAAGGAAACAGTTTCTCTTCCTTTTTCTCACTCCACTCATCCATAACTCCCTGTTCTTGTTCCCCTTCCCTTCTGATTTTCCCAAATCAGAAAGAAAGAGCTGAATGTGGGTGGAAGGGCTCCCTGCAGCTGATGAGTAGCTCAACTAGACAAAATAAAGGTAGATGGATGGTAGGGAAAAAATAAAATATGCTGCATCAAGGAGCAAATACAGAAGTGCTGCCCAGAGGCCAGGAGGCTGTGAGGCGGGTACTGCCTTCCAGTGAAGCTGAAGGACAGGCAGAGCCAAGAGTTGCCAGCAGGACCAGGCTGAGGATGTCAACTCTAACACCTTTGTCTTGAGATCAAAGTCTAAAAATTCTTAAAATTCAATTTAAGGTGACTTGCTGAACTATTCTCTACTGGATGGCAACATGCTGCATTATATTTTGAATTGGATAAATTTGTGTTCACATAGAAAATGTTCTTGTTTTTTCTCTTTATCCATAATTCTTAGAAGCAGAAAAATAGTTAGTGAACCAAAACTCAACTTTTATTATAAAAACAATTTTTAAGTCAAGTTGATTTTTGAACARGTAGAGTCTAATCATGATAGTAGCGAGTTCAACACAGGAAACTGGACCAAAATCTTCATCTATACCAGTAGAACTAACATACATGGTGACTGCCTGGAAATGCTGTTTTGGAAATACTAGCTAGCACTGTCTTTTCAATTAAAACAAAGTGTGGTCATGTATGAGGCCCTGGGTTCAGTTCTCAGCAACACATACACACACACACAATATCTGCACAAATAGGTACATAAGTTAAAAGAGATCTTTCCACCATTATCAAACTAGAGATGGGTTTATTTGAAGATAGAGTCTAAACAATATGTTTGAAGTTAGTTTATAATTATCTCATTACCATTCCCCCAGCTCAGAATTTACTACTTAAGTAGCTAGGAAAAATTGCACAAAAATATACTCAGGTTTTGATAATGACACACATGCATACACAAAGTTTGAATGATAATTAGTAACTAAATATTCTTCATTTTTAGACTTTAATTTAATATTTAAGTTTATTATATATYGGGTTTATTTTTTAAATCACATTGTTTTTGTCTGCCAAGTAATAATGAAATGATTATTTAATAATTATATTTTCATCAATTTATATATTTTGTTTTGTAATGATTCTATATTTTTGTATTTGTGGCATATTAAATATTTGGATTCACTGTTTTTTTTAACTCTTAACACTTTTAAATCAAGTATTAGTGTTACCTTTTCATTTGCACCAGTGTCCTTAAGGGGTCCTTCAGATGAAACCTAAAAGTTGAGTGGATTTAGTCAAAAGAAGTGTTGTGGCAAGAATGTTCCAGGCAGTTTTTCAGATGGRAAAAAAGTACAGTAAGTTTTCACAACTGAAAGACAAGTTGGTGCTCGGAGTTTGAAAGGATGAGCAAAAGGTTTGAGTTGAGAATGGCCAAGAGGTCATGAGCAGGTTTAGGGAGCCATGGAAAGTCTGAGACTCTTCAGGAAGCCAGAGGTGGACTTTAAGTGTAGCCATGGTCAGTCAGATTTGCATTTTAGATGAATCATTGTACTGCTCTGTGAAGTTGGATAAAGACAACCAATTATTACACTCAGGAAAATATCCTAAGTCATAGGCAGTAGGGGGAAAAGTGGACCAATTKGAGAGAGATTTAGGAACTAGCATTCACAGGGCATGGCAGTGGGTCTAGCCAGAGCACTGGTGAATTTGGTAGCAGTTGCTGACATGGGGCCTGCATGAAGGGTTGTACTGGRTATGTTTATGTGGGAGGTGATGCATTCTCTTTTGTAGATTCCCATGGGACAGAGAGTATTCTGTTAGGTGAATGTAGAGACCTAGGCCTTAGACAAGTCTGGAGCGGACATGGAGACTTACAGATGTTGTCAATGGTGGGATGGAAGTGAAGTCTCTGAGTGGATGGATATTCAAGGTGAAAGGGAAAGAAAACAGCAGGAGTAGCCTAGAGTGGTAGAAGGAAAGTCAGAAGCAGGTGATGCCATAGAAAGGAGAAAGAAGAGTGCTCCTAGGAAAAAATGACTGATTATCTGCTCTAGATGCTCTGGAGAGTTTGCGCYAAGGTAAGAACAAAAGTATCATTTGCTTTAACTTTAAGGTAGTCATTGGTGACGCAGATAGTGGAAATCAGATTTTAACAATTCTAATGTGAGAAATTAGGCAGGTTTTTCAAGTTTTCAATGGAAGAAAGAACCAAAGCCCTTGGGTTCAGTGGCTTTACTGAGTACTTTTTGTGCTCATTACATGGGAACCATTGGTAATGCCCAAAGCCCTGACTAAAATACTGACAAAAACCTTCCCTTAGACAAGGAGCACACAGAGTGTAGCTTACTAAAATGGTAGAATATGGGGGAAAAAAMCACAAATTTCTTCTAAGAAATTATGGTAGAGTATTTAGCTATGGCATAGTAAACAACCCAGCAGGCCCTCTCTGTTCCGTGTTATCTCCAGAATGAAACCAGCCAACTTACCCTGGCTCCTTTTCATTCTCCATTCACCTATTATGCTGGAGAATGACAAGGAGCCAGGGTAAGTTGCGTAAAAACGATGAAGGGGACTTTAACCTGATGGTGATGGGAAGGTGCAAGGAGAGAGGGAGGCAGTGAAGAGAGAGGGTGACCAAGGAATTGGCATTCCTGGAAAGGCGGAACAAGAAGGATATCAGGAGCTAGATCTTGGATTGGAGGGAAAAGGAAGCAAGAGTCAGGCTGCAGATAAATTTGTGAGTGGTGATAAAGGAGGAGGAAGTATTTYGTGAAATAGACAGCATTGTCATTGGCTGAGATTGAGGAGGTAGGTGATGGGGAGGCTAATGAGAACAGAGGATGTGTAAAGCATTAGCACTGAGGGAGTGGAAAAGAAGCTGACCAGGGAAAGCTTGAGGAGAGGACTAGGACGAGTTGAGGTTTTCCGTGAAGAGTTAATAGTGGCCCTGTGTCTCCACCTGCCCTTCTTGAGGTACACGGGGTATATTTAAAGAGTTTCTAGAGTTGGTTGTGACTGATCTGTAAAGTGCAAGGAGCAGATTATAATGAATGCAACTCACGCTCATCTTTGACACATCCSCTGTTGTCCTGTAGTGCAGTGTTAAAACATCCTCTGAGAGTATTGAAGTGTGTTAATGGAAGCTCTTTGCTCCTTCAGTAAGTGGCCCCAGATTGCTGTCTTGTTTTTCTTTAAGTTCTTGTCCGCTTTTTTATACTATTTCTGTCTCCTCCCTTTCTGTTTTCTTCCTTGTTGTCAGTTGTTCTATCACATTGCTGTCTGCATGCAAGTCTGTATCAGCCCTACACCCTGGACTTTGTCAACATCTGGAGTTTCACACCTCTGAAATAAAGCAGTGGGCTTGAAGACCAGACAAGCAAGCTTATTAGAATTGTGTGCAAAGTAAGAGTAAATAACCTCTGAGTGTGATTCTCATGTGCTGTGCTTTGAAGGGTGTACATGAATGTTTGTACATGAATTCTGTGACATTTATTGGGTTGTTTCTCAATTGTCCATAACGAGACGTTTGTTGCCTGTATTCCCATTGTGTGTTTTTCTTATTTTGAATTTCCATGGATTATAATATTCTTAAAGAGCCCTCAATATTTATGATTTTTTTCTTGTAATTGTGTTTTAGTATTTACACTTTTATACATTATCTAAASTTTAAAACCACATGATTAGATGTGTTATTCTATATTTTTTTATTATTCACATGGATTTTCAAATACTTATATATTTTGTATGGAAATAACATGAATTTTCAAATAGTTGTGCATTTTGTATGCAAATAATGTACCATTTCACAAGTTGGTCATTTAGTCATTTCACGTGTAAAGGAACAATGTAAAGAAAATATTTTGGAGGTTTGAAGAATAAGTTATCTACTCTCAATTTTCATATATTTCTGTGTTGTATGGATTTTCTCATCTGTGAACATCTCATATACATAACAACAAAYTTGATTTTTAAAAGAATCTTATATATTTAGGTGTCCAGTAAATATCAACTCAACATTTTTTATAAATTAACTTAATTTTGATCCCCACCTTCCTTCTTGTCAGATGAAAAGTAAATTCGACACCAGTCATGTGGAGACTTTCTCCTGCTCCCAAGGATGTGCCTAGGGTTGGGTTGTTGGGCAGTGTGTATACTGATGAAAGGCCCCAGACTCATCATCACCTGGTCACTCTGGTTGCCTAGGAGTTGCCTGTCCAACCAGCCCACACAAGCCCTTGGGTTCAGTGGCTTTGCTGAGTACCTTTTGTGCTCACTACATGGGAATCATTGGTAATGCCCAGAGCCCTGTATTCAGGCTTCTGCCTCCCTGGGGCACTCAGAAGCTCAGTTACTCCATCAGACATCTTGTTCCTCTCTCCAAACTGGGGACATATTTTTAATCTGGGGGAAATCTTGCTCTCCTCAAACTCTACTCTAAATAATTAAAAAAAAAAAAAATTGGTGAAAACTAAAATACTGACAAAAACCTTCCCTAATCAAGGAACACACAGAATGTAGCTTACTAAAATGGTAGAATATGGGGAAAAAAACACAAATTTCTTCTAAGAAATTATGGTAGAGTATTTAGCTATGGCATAGTAAACAACCCAGCAGACCCTCTCTGTTCAGTGTTATCTCCTCCAGAATGAAACCTATGTAGCCTTAATTTTTTAAAACTYATTGAAGGACACCTATTAAGTGTGCTTACATTTTATTGATAGAGTAATTTCTGAGTGGCGATAGTAAATACTGAGCAGAATCTAATATTTGCAAGTGTTAAGTAAGTTTTCTGACTTGGTTTTGTCTTATTTTACCTAAGAACACTGGAACTATTTTGGGGCCGATGAGAATCTTGGTCCAGTTGCTGTGAGCATACGAAGGGAAAAACCAGAAGAAATGAAGGAAAATGGATCTCCATACAACTACCGAATGATCTTTCGAACTAGTGAGGTAAGTTCTAGATAAGAAAGACTTGAAGCTTAATTGAAGTAGGAAAAAGTAAAGTAGTAGCAGTTGCAGAGCAATAGCAGATTCAATAGCATAAGGTCACAGTGTCCTTAGAGCAAGCAAGGCTCCTCCTGTCTTCACACTGGTGGCAATGGAGGCAGGCCAGGTGGGTAGTTCTGGGTCCATTCTGCATTCTAGCTCTGGATAGATGCAGTAGGTGACAGGCAGTTCTGATTCAGAGAAAGTCTGGGAAGTGTCACCTAAATGATCAGAGCCTTCAGAATCAAAAGTGGGAGTTGCATAATCCCACTCAGGACAGCTGGAAAGCACCAGCCAACTTGAGAAATGGGCATGCTGGTGGAGGAGAGCGGGTCACCTGAGACTTAGCTCAGTTGTCCAGGTTATGGCAGAGGACATTTTTTGAGCCAAGAAGAGCAAAGGGAACTTTATTTCTCCTACCCTCACTTTGCTGCACCTTGGACATACACTGTATAAGCCTATAACACAGTTGGAACCAGAGACTCTCCATTTGTGGGTTGAACAGGCTCTTTTAGAGTCTAAATACACATAATATATGGGTTTTCATCTTAAAGTGAAACTCTAGTTAAAAAAAGAAAAGCAAAACTAAAATAGCCAACAAAGCTTTTTAAAATTGTSAACAAGTTTGGGATCATGGGATTATTTATTTATTTTCCCCCTAAACATTGGTATTATTGTCCCAGTTATCAGTGTGTTTCCTCTCAGCTTTAATCCTAAATTCTCTTTAAGATTATTCTTATGCATTAATGCCTAATACACCCTTGAGGTATCTAGAAAATAATGGTTTTGAAACTGGTTTAAATAGGACATTCGTTTTCATTTCCCCTATTGAATCAAGGGTAGTTTCAGGAGTTGGCTTCACTTAGTAATTGTTCCTAAGCTTGAACTCTGGGGAAATTAAAAATAGGGATTTTAACAACAACACTTTAAATCTAATGTGGTGTTTACAGCGGCCAGGGAGAAATGAAGAGCTGTCCCTTCCCACTTTCAAAGCTGCTGGTTTAGCCATGTGCCACCTCTATGGAGTGTCCTGTGTTGGCAGGTAGACACAGGCAGCTGCCCTTGTCTAGCTTCCCAGATCCACAAGATTTCTGTGAATACCCTCATCTTCCAAATGTTTTCGTCCTTTCTGTTGTATCTTTTTCCCCCTCCCAGGGCTATTTTATTTTAACCCCATCATTTCCTTCCTTTTTGTTGGTATTTTTATCCATTAGCCAAAGCTTCTTGCCACTGTCCTATCCCATCCTTCCTGCAGAGTACTGGAGTTTCCTTGGGGCCCTTTCTTTCTCAGACCCTGCCTCTGGCTTCTGCTGGTCACTCTTCAACATCCTGACTCAGCTGTGCCCTGGGAACCACTCTTGTCTTTCCCTCCTATTCTCTCACCTCTTCCCACTTGGCTCCTGACTCCTCCCTCTGGTTTATGGTCACAGGGTTAAAAAGGTTAGCCTTTTTGTTCTTTTCCTTGGTCCTTTTCCTTCACCTTTGTTGTTGTAAGTGCCCATGTCAAATGCTGTTCACAACACTGAGGCTAGCCAGGCGCTGTGGCACACGCTTACATATTCCTAGTGACCCAGGAGGATGAGGCTGGCAGTGGGCAATCTCAATACCAGCCTGGGCTTAGTGARACCCTGTTTCAAAACTAAAAAGGAAAAGGGGTTGGGAATGTGGCTCAATGGCAGAAAGTTCTAGGGTTCAGTTCCTAGTGCCTCAAAACCAATCATCCAACAAAATATACCATGGCCATTTGTTGTTAAAGATTGATGTTCARTTCCTGGTAACCTGGGGATTGTAGTTGTTCAGATCAGAAACCTTAAAGTCACATTTTGACTCTTCTCCTTTCCTCCTGCCCCCAAATCTGTTCTTTAAGCAATCTTTGTCCATTGTCTTCAAAATACTGCAAGTCTAGATCTCAACCATTCTTACCCCCAAACCTGGACCTTGCTCTGAGAACTCCTTTCCCTGCCTCTGYCCTGAACCTGGGCTTCCTTTTAGCTCAGAGGGAATCTCTTTGAAATGTAATCCATATCTGCCCCATCCTCCTTCAAAATCCCTTCAAAGTTCTCCATATCCTCCTGAGTAAAAGCCAGAGTCCTTGATAGCTCAGTGACCTGGCATATCTACTACCCAGCTGTCTCTGCCACCTCATCTCAGGATCTCCCATAACTCCTACTGCTCAGTCTCTTGCAGCCACAGAGGCCTCCTTCCCCTCTAGGTGACCTCAGCATACCTGTGCCTCTGGACTTCAGTACTCCCTATTCTTCCCTCTGACAACATCTTCCCCATGTCCTTCCCTCTGGCCTTCTCTGATACATCAGAGGGACCTTCCTCTGCATCGGGGTCTAAAATTTCTATTCCCTCCCCATTTATGACATTTTTGTTGTTGTTGTCTGGTTTGGTTTTGATGGTCCCAGTTGAACTCAGAGCCTCACACATGCTAGGCAAGTGATGTACCATTGAGTCCCACCCCAACCCCATTTTAAATTTGATTCCATACTTTGTTTCAGTAACTCTTATCACTATCTTACRTATTGTGCTTTTAAATTTTGTTTGCTTACTTAATTGTAAGCCCTGTGAGGGTGGAAACTTTTATCTGAGTTGTTCTTTACGCCTAATGCCTAGAGTAGTCYCTTCAAGGGACTGGGGGTGAAGAATCATAGTCGAACACTTGTCTAGCATGTGCATGGCCTTGGGTTCCATCCCAGAATCTCAAGAGAAGAAAAATTATAATAAAATTAAACTGTCCTTTCCCTCTTTTCACCTCCCTTCTTCCCTTTCTCCCTCTCTTCTCTTTTCTCCTTTTTTTTCTTTTCTCCCTCCCTCCAGCATTTATTTCCTCTAGTGTTTATTTAATTGATCACCACTAACTTATCTGTAATTTTTTGCTTTCCAAGAAAAATAATCCTTATATATGGTTCAATTTTAATGCCTGTATAAGACTTGCCATGGAGGTGAAATTGCTAATGCCCGTTGGTAGAGATATTTTTAAATGTTGGTCCTGCCCACGCTCCTGGGCCTTGTGGTTCAGTCAGTTCACTTGTTTTACTGAAGCAAGTTTATTAGATGTACAACAAAATAACACTTAACTTTATATTAGGGACTTCCCAAGCCAATCAGTATATTGGAAAAAAAAAAGAAAACACGGTCATGGCATTGACATTGGCACTCCCATGGCTTTAGTGAATGGCATCCATGTAACAGAGACAGAAGCCAATCTCTTTCATCTCAGTAGAAGTCAGTCATTGCAAAACATCAACAAAAAAGTCATTCCATTAATTTGTAGATATAGTGGTTTGTTTGTGAACAGTCTTCTGGCATATGAGTATTTTTAAACTCAGAAGCCCAAAGATTTTTATGAAGACTCTTCTCCTTGTTTCTGGAAGCCATTAATGAAAATATCAGTACATAGTGCCAGTGAGTCAGATGTAAAAATGAGTCATTCTTTCCTCATCTTCTTTGACTTTAAAGTTAGCCTTTGTCTTTCTGTTGTGCAGGATGCAATGATGTGCATTTCTGGTCTTGGCTTCTAAATTGAAAATGCTCCCAGTCTTTGTGGTCCCCTATCCAGGCATGTATTACCTCATGAAGGGGAGAACCCAGTAGTTACTGAGTTGTTCACCCATTGCCCATAATTTATAAAACAAAAACACTTTCTGTCAAATGACATAGTATGTAAATGATGATTTTCTATGCGTTATTTGAAATCATTTAAGGGTAGAAGATCCTCATTAAATAAATATATTGCAAATACCTCCAGTACCATTTCTTCTGTTGAGAGTAAGATACTGATACATTTTGTTTTCCCTAACCTCTATCTCTCTTCCCTCCATCAGTTGGCAGATGTTACAGATTTTACTTCCTGGCCGTGCTTCCTTTGGATTTCCTTTTCCCTGCTAATCTTATATCATGCCTTCTTTGCCTGTTATCTAAAGACTTTTAACTTCCTAACTGTATTCTCTGCTTCCAGTTTCTTCCTCTCATATCTCATTTGCCAATTTAGTTTCTGAAATTATATATCGTTTTCCCCATCTGAATGTGTCCTGTGATCACACAGGAGAGTGATGAGGTGCACATCTCTCAGTCAGCCTCAAGGTCTTCTGCTGTGGGTCCTGGCTCCCCCCAGCTCACAGCTCCATCATCACTCCTCCCTGGTTCTTTCTGGTCCAGCTGTAGCAATCACTCCTTTTTCTGTCACCCTGGTTTTTCCTATCTCTATACCTTTGCTCATCTTATCTGATATTTTCTTTTTGTAGAAATTATTACTTTATTCTACAATCCCTTTCTAATGCCATTCCTTCTGCCAGGGCCTTCCATTATTCCCTGAGCCACTATGGTGCCTCCCATGCTCTGGCCTTGTAGGACTTGGTCTCCGTATACTTTTCTGAGTAAACACCTCTTTCCCTGGTTGCACTTGTGTATTTCTCATCTCTCACCCTCTTCCATGCCACACACTTCCCTTCACAGGTACTCCTCTGTCAGCTTTCTGATYGCAGTAGAATGTCTTACAACCTACACATTTACTGGGTATTTGTTCAGTTTGGTGCATTTCTTATGCCATCAAACAGTATTTATATTATGGCAACAATTTTGCCATGTGAAAATTTTTGGAAATTAAGAGCATGTCAGGCTTCATGTCTAGTTAACTTGCTCCAGCAAATCATCATTATGTAAAGAGATGTCTTTGCTTCTATTTTATAATAGAAGATATTTTAAGAAAGAAGGGAAAACATAAAGCAATTTCCAGTGCTGTACTGCTGTACTATAATCATTGTCCTATTATAGCAGCATTGGAGATGTGAACAGTTTATGCTTGTCAACAAAGCATTATGAAACTTAAAACTTTATCCTGGCATTTACCTTTTATAATTCAAAAGTGCAACATTCAAATTCTATGCATTTTTTCTTCAGATGTCTCTCTGGGGTATCTCCTTAACTTCTTTGTTAGCATACTTTGTGCCATTGTATGGCCATATAGAAATCTTGCTCTTACTGACTTTTTAAAAAAATATTTATTTTTTAGTTTTAAGTGGACATAATATCTTTATTTTACATTTATGTGGTGCTGAGGATCGAATTAAGTGCCTCAAACATGCTAGGCAAGCGCTCTAYCACTGAGCCATAACCCCAGCCCTCTTACTGACTTTTTAAGGGAATGTTTTATGTGCCACTTACCTAAATATCCTTGGAATACTTTATCGTGAATTCCTGTGAACTTGTGTTGGACTTTTGAAAATATTGACCTAATTTTTTATGTGTAAAGTTTGTTATCTCACTCTTCACAATCTTTGTTCCTCATTGGTTCAATCAACAAAAGTCATTTCCAGCTCAGTAAGGAGCCTGCAAGATAGGCCTCCAGAGCATGTGACCTATTCAACAATTTCATGCCTCCTGAGAGGCTTCACTATGCCACCTTCTCTCTTTCAGCTCATGACACTGAGAGGTTCTGTCTTGGAAGATGCTATTCCTTCAACAGCAAAGCACTCAACGGCTAGAGGGCTTCCTTTGAAAGAAGTGCTGGAGCACGTGATCCCCGAGCTCAATGTCCAATGCCTGCGGTTGGCCTTCAACACTCCMAAAGTCACAGAGCAGCTCATGAAGCTGGATGAACAAGGGGTGAGTGGCTTTCAGCAKAGCACATTCTTGCTGCTCGGCTTCTAGGATACAGGCCTTAGTATTTCTTTTTTGGTAGAGAAAACTGATAYCACTTATTAATAAGGATTCTAATTTTCTGTTTTCTTAACTCCTGGAACATTGCTCCTCCAATGAAATTCTCAGTGCCAGAACTAAAACAATGTTCTTAAACTATGTTCATCTCTCTTGATACTCTTCTATACATGTAGTAGATTTTTCAAATATCTGGGAGTAAGTTGTAGCAATAATAATAGTAACAATAAGCATAATGATGTTATTACATTATAATAATTAGTACAGTAATAATAGGAGCTAACACTAATGAGCATATTCATCAGGCTATGTTCTAAGTACCTTAAATGTTATCCCATATAATCTCCCAACCTCAAGAGTATGTGCTGTTATTACCCATTTCAAAAATAAGAAATCTGGGGCACAAAGAAATTACATAATAAATYAAATTTCTCAAAGTTAATAAGTTGTGGAGCCAGGGATCAGTCATCTGCCTCGGAGCCTAAGTTGTTAGTCACTCTGTCCCAYCATTCTTAAAAACTTAGACTTTAAAACCATTAGTAACACCAAAACTAAATTTTAGCCAAGATTTATAAACATAAAATTTTAAAATTTGGGGCCCAATAAATATCACAGACTTAAAATGCTTATGATTCACTTCCTTAATACTTCACATTCCAAAATGTAGAGGTCCTTTTGAGGCTAATGCATGATAGGATAATCCATATAAAGGTTGCCTAAAGGAAGAAGAGTTAACATCTGAAACTGTCTCTAACCAGAGAATGTTATCCACATTCTGCTTGGAGTAATTTGAACATATGTGCTAATTTTGTAGATGTTGCACTTGCGTAATCTTACTTTAACTTTTAGCACTTCAGCCATATTGCACCCTATCAATGGGTAAAAGTAGTTTTACCATTGCATTTTAAAAATTCCTCAAAAAGTGAAAGTGGTCTAGGTAATGTCATTTTCTGAAAACTTTTGATGGTGTTTCCTTAATTTTATAAATTCCAAGTTTATTAAAACAAATATAAATTAAAAAAATAAGTTTTGAGATATATTTATTATTTTAATCAAACAATAAGAATATAAAATGAACCAATAGTTGGATTTAACTTTTCTAATCCATGCTTTTTCTATCCATTTTGCTTTTCATAATGTGCCAACTGTCTATTCAACATGTGTATTTAAAGAATGCTGAGAGTATCCATGTATATAACATGTAAATTGAAGCACTTTGTGTGTTTCAGAAAATAACTAATGCATAAACTTACTACTTTGAAGGCTGTTTTCCAGTAAATATTCTGGGCATTTATTCTAAAAAAGAAGGAGCAGAAAAATGATGATTAGGTTCAACTTTATTGATTCAGTCATTTCAGTGACTGTGCTTATTAAAGAGAATAAATAAACCCACTTAGGCATTGATAATATAATCATATACTTAACATCCTAAATTTATATTAGGACAGAATATTTTATATAAAGAAGGTGTTTATTATCATTTCCCCTTATTTTAAACATATCAAATAAAATACTCCAATTATAGATATTTCACAGATTTCTGGCACATTTTTGTCCTCTGTTAATGATTGCAAAATGTTGGACTGCAGATGGTGCTGTGTTGTGGTGAACATTTCATGGTTCCTTCACACAAGGAAGATAAGAGTCCTATAATGAATTCACCCAGAGTTAAATTTATTTAATTCATAAATTGGCCATTATTTTGTAATTATGGTTCTCCTATCTTGGAGATGTTGAAATAACCTGCTCTTCATAAATTATTAATGGTAATATATGATGGTTATTTTGTTTAATTAAAAATTAAAATTTGGCAGTGATTTTCTCTGATTTTATTTTGGAAAGAAGTGCCTTACATACGTTATCTCATTGAATAGGGTTTTAGTATTAGGCAGCTTTTCCTCAGCAGTGGAATGTAAAAGTTTAAAACATGCTGTCCTATGTGAGCAGCTCTGTATCTAGACCAAAGGGCACACTACCACTTGGCTTCTCTCCTGTCTTCTCTGTTTCCATTCATAGCATTCAAAGCCAGGATTGTGCTGGTGTATAGCAGATGACAGGCAAACTTCAGCACAGCAGTCGGTTTTTTTTCCATAGGAAATCTCATAAATCTCATTAATGCCTTGGAAMCTTTTTTTAGAAACTGATTATTTTGATGCCTTTAGAAATGCAGATTTTAAAAAGAAATGCATGTACTGTAGGGGATACGCATATGAATCACTGCAAAGCATTTTTATTTTCCATCTGTGTCATCATTTTTAAAAATTTTAAGTTTTATATAGCCTCGATTTAAAGTGATTCATAGTGTGATACCAGGAAACCAGACTCACCAAAAGGAATTTTTAAGTCTCCTTTTAAATTTTTTAAAATGATTTCTATTCTCATTAAATAGCTTATAAAATTATGCTTGGAAAAAGAAAACACAATTTGTTTGCTATATTGTGCATTTTGCCTTTCAAATCCTTGGTGCTTTATTTCTTCCTTTAATCAGTATGAAAATGTAAAATGAACAGAAGAAAAACATTAAAATTTTATTTGTAAAGTATACAAGAAAGCATTGCACAAAGATCTAATAATTTGTTTCTTATTTGACTTGACAATGATATGCATGTGGGATTGGAAGTAGGCATTTCCTTGAATTCCAAAGAAATTCATTTTAGAAAATAAATACATCCTTTGTGGTTTATCCAGGCATTCACTTTCTCCTTCTTTATGCCTTTCTGGGCCTTTGTTGTTATTGATGTCTATTTCTACTGTTATGTAAAATGACAGTGAGAAAAGATAAAACTAACTTGACAGTGTTTTCAAACTGGCTAGAATTGAGAACACTTGGAGCCTCAGAAAATTTGAATGAACTTTGGATTTTGTTCACGCATCATGTCCTTATATCTTTATTTATTAGACAACTGAGAACATATATCATGATAGAAACAGATTACATGGATATGTGTTAAATTGTTACTCTGTTTCAATCACTTTACTGGCATCATCTGATTCAACCTTCACAGCAACCCTGAGTTGTCCCTTCCAGTTAGTTACTGGCCTGTTTTACACTTGAGGGGTTTGTGGCTTACAGGTTCTAAGGCCCATTTACTTTCCTCTCATCTTTAGTGATCCTGAACACTGGATACAAATTCACGTAATACTGCCTTTCATTTTTAAGATTTGAAAATTTTCCTTTACCTTTCCATTTCTTGAATTATTTTGATCCTTAAAACTATATTGTGAAGTATTAAGGGAGTCCACTACTCTATTCTACTTTGTTTTGTTGTCGTTGTTGTTGTTTTGTATGCATTATTAGGAATTGAAACCCAGGGTGCTSTACCACTGAGCTACATCTCCAGAACTTTTTCTCTTTTATTTTTGAGATAGAGTCTTGCAGAGTTGTCCAGGCGGGTATTTGCAATCCTCCTGCTTCAGCCCTGTGAGTTGCTTGGGATTACATGCATGTGCCACCACCCCCAGCTTCAACTTTTTAAATCATATGACCAGTTTCATTATTTTTAAATTTGACATATCTTAACCATTTTTCTTTAGTAGTTATTTTTAAAACACCTATATCTCATCTACTCTGCAAGGGGAATTATCACMCCTACCTGTATTTTAAGGAATTCACACATGTATAATACTTAATACCACGCTGGGCACATAAGTAGACATTCAAGAAATGTTAGTTTTTGTTGATAATTATAAAATAATAGCTTGTTAGTCACCCTTTACATGCATGAGCTCTTTTAATCTTAATAAACTTCCTATGAGAGAACATCTGTTATAGGTAACATATTATGCTTTTACAAGTAAGTGTGACCATTTCAAATCCAGTAAGTGCCTTTTAAGTACAACTCCTTGCAGATTGTTAAATACAATAGAGAATAAATAKCCTAGTAAGACACAGACCTTATACATGAAGGAGGCAAGGTCATAAATTACTGTAATGGATGTCAGGGTTAATATAAGAGAACTGCAAACAGAGAGTAATGGAGGTACAAGCCAACAGGGTCAAGTCTTGTTGGTCCACAGAATGAGATGCATCTTAAAGGGGAAGAAAATTTTATCAGGCCGAAGAATAAACAGTAGGTCACTCCAGACTCAAAATAGTGAGAACCAAGTACAGAGGGACAAGAACAGATTGCTCTTAAGGGGTGGGAAGCAGTCTAGTTGAACAGGAGTGTGAGGCACATGCAGGAGAGCAATAGAATAGGGAATTTTGATTGAGCAGTGACTTAAGTCAGATACTGTGTGAAGCAGTTTGCATGAATTATTTTAATTATTCCTCAGAATCCTTTAATGTAGGTGCTATTATTCCTGTTTTGCATACAAGTGCACTGAGGCACAAAGAGGCTGATCACAGTTAGGATCTGTGGAGGCTAGTCTTGAGTCCAGGCATACGGACTCCAGAGCCCATGTTATCAACCAATACGCCACACAGCTTATCCTCCTTTCCCTCCCTATGCACGGGGAAGAAACTGGAACAATGGCTCCGAGTCTAATTGCCATAGGCTTCAATGCCTAGTATTAAGTGTAACATGTTAAGCCCAAATAAAATTGGAGTATGGCAGGCTCATAAATATTTAAAGCACAATTGCCAGTTTGCATTAATGAAATTGGTAGGCCCGTTTTCACTAGGAAATGTCAGGTTTCATGTACAAGGAAGTGATTTTGCCTACATGAGTATCTTCATTTGGTTCCTAGGTGTTTATTAAAAATGTGCCCAAATGAAAATACTTATTGGGTTCTCAGTTTTTTTTTTTCTTTTTCTAATTCTTTTTTTTATTGGTTGTTCAAAACATTACAAAGTTCTTGACATATCGTATTCTCATTGTTATACAAAATTACATATAAGAGGTTGTGAGGGGAAAGGGTTCTCAGTTTTTTAAAGTTACTCTTTAAGTTATSGAATTTAGAGTAGAAGGAAAGTAATATTTAATTTATGTCTGCAATTTTATCAAGAA